GATGTAAAAATTCTCAATAAAATTCTGGCAAATTGAATACAAAACATATTTTTGAAAAATAGTGCACCATGATCAAGTGGGGTTCATTCCAGATATGCATGTATGGTTCAATATACAGAAATCAATAAATATAATTCATCACATCAATAGACTTAAAGATAAAAATCATATGATTATATCAATTGATTCAGAGAAAGCATTTGACAAAATACATCATCCTTTCATGTTCAAAACACTAGAAAAACTAGAGATAGTAGGAACATCCCTCAACATTGTAAAAGCTATCTATGCGAAATTACCCAAGGCCAACATCATTCTAGGTGGAGAAAAATTGGAAGCATTCCCTTTAAAAACTGGAATAAGACAGAGAGGCCCTCTTTCAATACTTCTATTTAACATAGTCCTTGAAATGCTAGTCAGAGTAATTAGACAGATGGAAGAAATTAAAGGGATATAAACAGGAAAAGAAGAACTCAAACTATTAGTATTTGCTGATGACATGATTCTATACTGAGAGGATCCAAAAAACTCTACCAGAGAACTTCTAGAGTTAATTAATGAATTTAGCAAAGTAGCAGGATATAAAATAAATACCTATTAATCAAATGCATTTCTATGCATCAGTGATGAATCCTCTGAAAGAGAAATTAGGAAAACTACCCTATTCACAATAGCATCCAAAAAATATTTGGGAATCAACAAAAGAGGTGGAAGACCTCTACAATGAAAACTAAAGAACACTAAAGAAATAAATTGAAGAAGACCTTAGAAGATGGAAAGATCCCCCATGCTCTTAGAGAGGCAAAATTAATATTGTCAAAATGGCCATACTACCAAAAGCACTAAACAGATTCAATTAAAATTCCATTGTCATTTCTTATAGAAATAGAAAAAGCAATCATGAAATTTATTTGGAAAAATAAGACCTAGAATAGCCAAAGCAATCCTTAGCAAGAAGAATAAAGCAGGACTCATCACAGTAGCAGACCTTAAACTATACTACAAAGCTGTAGTAACAAAAGAACCATGGTATTGGCACAAAAATAGACATGTAGACCAATGGTACAGAATAGAAGACACAGAGACAAACCCACATGAATACAGTAATCCAATAGTAGACAAAGGCACCAAAAATATACATTGGAGAGAAAACAGCCTCTTCAACAAATAGTGCTGGGAGAACTGGAAATCCATAAGCAGCAAAATGAAAATAAACGCTGTCTCTCACCATGCACAAAACTCAACTCAAAGTGGATCAAATATCTAGGAATTAGGCCAGAGAACCCGTGCCAAATAGAGGAAAATGTAGGCCCAAATCTTCATCATGTCAGATTAGGCCCCAACTTAACAAGATTCCTAAGTGCAAGAAATAAAATCAAGAATTAATAAATGGGATGGATTCAAACTAAAAAACTTCTTCTCAGCAAAAGAAAGAATCAATGAGGTGAAGAGAGAGGGTATATCTTGGGAAAAAATTTTTGCCACACACACTTCAAATAGAGCACTAATCTCCAGGATATCCAAAGATCTCAAAAAACTTAAAACCAAAAAAACAAACAACCCAATCTCTAAATGAGCTAAGGAGCTGAACAGACCCTTCTCAGAAGAGGATATATCAACAAATATATGAAAAAATGTCCAACATCTTTAGTAATCAGAGAAATGCAAATAAAAACTACTCTAAGATTTCATCTCACTCCAGTCAGGATGGCAGTTATCAAGAATATAGATAACAATAAATGTTGGCGAGGCTGTGGGGGAAAGGGCATGCTCATTCATTGCTGGTGGGACTGCATATTGGTGCAAGCAATCTGGAAAGCAGTATGGAGATTCCTTAGAAAACTTGGTATGGAACCCCCCTTTGACCCATCTATCCCACTCCCTGGTCTATACCTAAAGGACTTAAAATCAGCATACTATAGTAACACAAATCACATCAATATTTATAGTTTATTTCACAATAGTTAAAACTAGATGTCCTTCAATGGATGAATGGATAAAGAAATTGTTGTATATATACACAATGGAATATTACTTAGCATTAAAAGAGAAAAAAATCATGGCATTTTTAGGTAAATGGATGGAGTTGAAGACTATCATACTAAGTGAAGTAAGCCAATCCCCAAAAAACAAAGGCCATATATTCTCTCTGATAAGAGGATGCTGATCTATAATAGGGGGGGACATGGGAAAAATTGAGGAACTTTGATGGAGCAAAGGAAAGGGAGGAGTGGGGAGGGGGTATGGGAGTAGGAAAGATGATGGAATGAGATGGACATCATTACCCTTGGTACATATATGACTGCACATATGGTGCTATGCTATATCATGTGCAACCATAAAAATATAAAGTTGTGCTGCAATTGTTTACAATGAATCAAAATGCATTCTACTGTCACATATACCTAATTAAAATTTTTAAAAAGAACAAAAGTAGAAAACAGAAAAAAAAGAAGTAAAATCTATCAGCAAGTTTTACACACTGAACTCCATCTCCCTAAATCACAGAATGAGGACTATGTTTCTATCAACAATATGTCAGTTTTTCTGAGATTTATTAGTCAGATGTAATCTTGATATTTTAAAGTTCCTCCTCACTGATCTCTTATTGACCTGCAAGTACTGGATCCAAAAATTACCTGGATCTACAGAATTTTATCAGAGGAGTTAAACTTACAAATGATAGACCCTTTTAAGGGTCTAATCAACTCACTTAGCCTTCAGAAATTATCCAGTTCACTTTTACAGAGGACAAAAGATACCCTTGTGGAGGTTAAATGTCTGACTTTCCAAAGGTCAGACACTATTTAAAGAAGAGTTAAGAATAAACCCCTGGTCTATGGCTTCTAGTCCTTAGTACTTTTTGCTATGTTATGATATGGCTATTTTTTCCTGTTATGTAATGCAGATTAATCTGATCTTCTTTTTCTTCTTTTCAACTAAACTTCTGAATCAGCTAATCTTTATAATTACTGAGATAGGAAGTGAAAGGCTGAAATGACTCTGTAATCAAAGAAGCTCCCTGCCACGAAGGATGATCCTATTAGAAGCTTGTCCCCTAATGCTGGGACTCCACATCTGTCCTGCTTCCCACCCCTTTCAATTCCTGTGATGCTTTTCACTTTCCCAGATAGTCTTAGACTGTCCAGGCAGCCTTTAACCACTACCTTTGCCTTGCCCTTTAGTATTTAGCTGTTTGGAGGTTCTTGTCTTCTTTCTTATTTCTGAACCATACATGGCTCATCTTCTGGTATCCTCTTGTATCTTAGTTTGTACTTGTTTATCTTGTTTCTTATTAATTGCTTGACCTCATAACCTTGAGCCCTGGCTTTGTTTTATTCTTGGTTCTCTCAGTAGAAGACTAGACTCAACTCAAAAGTCTTGAATATTTGGAAAATAAAGTGATTTTCACCCAGAAAGTCCTTAGTAATAACTAGCATCTCTCTCTCTTCAGATTCATTCTGCCACCATAGTGATTGGAGTTTGAGATAACTTCACAAGAGTCACAGAGTAAATTTCCTAGAAACAGTGAACCTAATTGTATGAAGTGATCACGTCTCCCAAAGTATTATGTAAGTTCAAGAGAAACTTTTTATACAATTTGTTTTTCATAGAAGTTTGAGGTTCATGCCAAAATTAAGGAGAAACTACTAAGAGTTCTGAGCAATTTTTTATATAGTTTCTAATTTAGGTAAATGTATTAGGGAAACTTATTAAAGAAAATTCACTATGACTTATGCTATAAAACTAAAGGTCTGTCTTCAATTTATCATTTATGAAAAGATAACTAAGGAGCTAATTAAACTAGATAACTATGCCACTTATAGACTTATTAACTCTCCACTGGACAATGAAGTCCACCGTTCAATGCCTGCTGTGAGAAAATGCAGCTGGACCCCCTGTATCGCCTTTGTAGTTGGTAATTTATTAAACTGTGTTGGAAAGGGGTGCTGGCAGGACACTGAAAAAGGAAAAAGCTTTCCTTCACGATTTCAGTTGTCCCTACCATTCACTGGCCATCAGCACCCATATGGGCCACCCAATGTCATCTTTACTCTTGGAGCTCCAATGGAACCCATGCTCAGTTTCCCATCAAATTTCAGAAGTACCTCTATGATTAGATTTCCATTGAGTCTTTCAAGCCTCCCAATGGCCAGCTTCCAGCTTTGGTCTGCCTGTACCCCCAGGAGCACCGAAGAACTCCACCAACATGCAGTGGGCCATAAGCACAGAAACTACAATGAAGACTGAATTCTAACCATGGGGAGAGGGAGCCCAAATCCAACCTGTTTCTTCCATGGGAACTCTCCTTCAGTCCTTGGGTATTCTTAAGAGTTCTAATCTCTTAATACACTAGGGATTTTCCATCACAGCTTATAATTTTTCATATTAAGCTTCTCCTATTCAAATTGCCATGTTGTTTCTGCCTTCTAATTGACCCTGATTGATATAGTAATCTTGGAAATATAATTTTAATCTCTCAGTGTACTCATACATAAAATGAGGAAAATGGATTAGTTAATATCAAATATCTTTTCTAGCTATAAAATTACTTGATTCTAGGAAATTATTTATATGTGCCATGAAAAAAATATATTATGAACAATGAGCAGCACTTTATAGTTGTATATTGTTTTCCCAGCCTTATTAACAGTAAATGGGTCTCCCTTTTCATCAGAATAATGTTTTCCTCCTCCCGCATCAAAATGTTAATTCAGTATCATTTCACACATACAGTGGGCAACCCAATATCATAAATCCTCTGTGAGAGTTTTAACTAGGAAGCTAACTTGGAACAAAATGTAGACATAGAGGTTTGTGTATAAAATGAAAGTTTGAAGTACTTTATAGAAATAATTTTATCTGTTTACAAATATAAATTTTGAATGGATACATTAAATATTTAAAAAAATGCTCCCTCTGATATTGTTTATCCTAACACATTACAGAAGAATCCATTTACCACTCCCATCATCACACATTTAACATCTCCCTTTTACCTTTCTCTGTCTTTTTCTGACTGTTTAGCCATTAATTTCTTCAGTTCTTCTAGACGTTGAAGATCTCTCATTTCCATTTCTTGCCACTTCTGCTCTTTCTTAGCCCAGTATTTCCTTATCTATTGTATAAATGTTACATAAAATTTCAATGAGCAATAGATAATAACAAGGGAAAGCAATAACATTATCCATTGGTTCATATACCAAAGATTTAATTTAAATGGCATTTCATATTTTTTGTTTCTTATAACTGCCTGTAAAAATATTGGCAACAGAAAAATAAATTAAAACATGTTTTGAGAAACTTCATGGTTTAACAATTTCTGCAGTGAAAATGTAACTTGTGCTGAGCCCAAGGTTTTAATCTATGGCTAAAATAATCAAATTTCAGGGAACCACAATAAAAGAATGTTACTGCCTCTAAAGAATATGACCTACCTGTTACTCAAGAATATTTTTATCCTCTTATGATAATGCAGTCTTTAACAAATACAGCATTAGAACTATTTTTACTTTAAAAGCATGGTTTTATTTATGCTAATGGACAGCAGGATGTTGAAAGCATTATGCTTCTGGGGAAGTGGCAGGAGATGGGTAGGAGGAAGGAGGGAAAGAACAAATTAGCAGGGTTGTGGTAGTCCTGACTTATGTGGTAAAATAAAGGTCAAGCTTCTCAAGTTTAAAAAGGTGAGTGCATCCTTCTTCTCAGGCCTATTTTATTTCTCTTCTCTTGAAATGGAGGCAGAAGGACAAAACCAAGTGTATACATGTGCTATTTTCGGGGGACTAAAGCCGTGATTCAGGATTCCCCAGTGTGATGAGGCAATTTAAGTTAATGTTTATTTTGCAGAGGCCCTTTTTACCACTCTGATCTGCCATATTGTATCTGGATCAAGAGACTGGGTTTTTCTGGTGGAAAAGTGAGTGGTACCTCAATAATGAACACCAGCAGAAGTGGGTGTTATAGAGGCTGGATTAGCCTCACCCCCAATGTGGCATTTCCCCTTTTGAGAGATGGATATGAAAATCTATGTAGTTTTCTGGGTTGCCTTAGCACCCTGGTCTCAGATTCCCAGGAGATCCATAATAAGCCTCCTAAATTCCATGGCCAGAGCTATAGCAACACTTCAGCCACAATAGTGACATTGGTTCAGTGCTTAATGACAGTCTGGATAAGCTCCATATAAGGTGATATCCATTCCACAGATGACCAGGGTCTGAGTTTAGGGAGAATGGAGAGAAAGCTGGAAAGATACAGCACTAAAGACAGTGTGTGAGAGAGAGGGTAGAGATGAAAGAGAGGGGCATCCCTGACTGACAAAGTCTGTTCCAGAGTTCTAACTGGTAAGTGCCAGGGATTAATATCAAATATCAAATATCTTAATATAAAATATGAAGGTATTAACAATGATTATTTAATCTTCATCTGGGAATTAAAAGGGATCTTTTTTATTCTTTATGCTTTTCTGTATTACTTTATTTTACAGTGAGTATATCTTTCATTATCAGGAAAGAATAAAAATACTTCAAAAGTAAATTTGAAAAATAGATACTGAATTAAAGAACATTTTTCTCTGCCTTGCAACGTATCAATAATGTTTTCTTGCTCCCAGCATTGGCCATGGAGGAAAAGTCAGTGGTCCTTTTGCAGACATTAACTTGAACATAAGCAGACTGATACATGGTCACTGGGACTTTTGTGAATCTCAGGACAAATTGTTTCTATTCTTAACTCACTGGTACCCTCAGCCATTACTACAGTGTGAGTCCCTCCCCTCTTTCTTCTTCTCTCTCCTTTCTTCCCCCTGCTCTCCTTCCCCCTCTCTCAATTTACTCTTTCACAGTGCATCCTCCAGAACCCTCTGGAACCTTATATCATCATTCATAACATCTTCCACATCTTTAATCTTCAGAACATTACCTCCTTGTTTTGACTGAAATTCTCTTGAGTGAAGAATAGTCATATTCTGTTGCCCCATGTGCAGAAGGGCTTGGAATAGTTTGGACATTTTCCTCATTATAACTGCTATTTTTTAATTAACAAAACTCCATGATTTATTTAAAATTCTTTAGATTTTACCACATGTGCTTTTACTGTTCTAGAGTCTCATTATCTTATCATATTGATACTAGCATTTAAGAGCAAATTTGGCACCAGATTATATTTATACTCTCACTGCACTTGATTTTCTATTTTTTCATTTTTTAAAAAATTGTTATTTTTAGATATATATGACAGTAGGGTATTTTTTGACATATCATACATGGGGTGAGACCCTTTACAACTTTGATCCCATTCTTGTAGTTGAACATGATATGGAGTTACGCTGGTCATGTATTCACATATGAGCACAAGAAAGTTATATCCAATTCATTCTACTGTCTTTCTTATTCCCATTTCCCCCTCCCTTCCCTGCATTCCCCTTTGTCTAACCCAATGAACGTCTATACTTTCCCTTCCTACCCTCTCTTGTTAAGGGTTAGCATCCACATATTAGAGAGAACATTTGACCTTTGATTTTTGGGGGGACTGGTTTATTTCACTTAGTATGATATTCTCCAATTCTATCCATTTACCATCAAATGCCACCATTTCATTTTTTATAGCTGAGTAATAGTCCATTATGTATGTATACCACATTTTCTTTATCCATTCATCTGTTGAAGGACAACTAGGTTGATTCCATAGCTTGGCTATTGTGAATTGACCTGCTATAAATTTTGTTGTGACTGCATCACTGTAGTCTGTTGATTTTAGATTCTTTGAGTATATACCAAGGAGTGGGATAACTGGATCAATTGGTGGTTCCAGTCCAAGTTTTCTGAGAAATTTTTATACTACTTTCTATAGTGGTTGCACCAGTTTACAGTCCTACCAGCAACGTATGAGTGAACCTTTTTCTCCACACCCTCACCAACATTTATTGTTACTTGTATTCTTGAAAATTTCCAATCTGACTGCAGTGAGATGAAATCTCAGTGCAGTTTTTTATTGCATATCTCTACTTGTCTCTCTAACAAGAGATGTTAAATATTTTTTCATATATTTTTTTGATCATTTGTATTTCTTCTTCTTTGTAGTACCCATCTAGTTCCTTTGCCCATTTATTGATTGGGTTATTTATTATTTGGGTGGTAAGTTTTTTGAGTTCTTTGTGTATTCAGGAGATTATTGCTTTATATGAGGTATATATGGTAAAGATTTTCTCCCATTCTGTGGGCTCTATAACTGCTGTTTTTAGACCACTGTGATATTGTTCTCATGTATAATTCCTCTCCCTTTGATATTTACTCTATCTGGATATACCCTCATTTATCTGTCCTTATCACTGGTATGTGTGGTCTTCCAAGTCACTCTCAAATACCTATCAAGACTTCAGATGCCCAAGTCATAACCTCCTCTATGTTAGCTCCTCCTTCCACCTTCCTAGGAAACTTCAGCATCTTTCTGAATGTCCCTTCAACTTGTTATTCTCACACTTACATGACTTTGTCCATTCCAGGGACTCACCTCCTCCTCCTCTCCCAGAATTCTATTGTCACTGGAAACAGTTCCACCTGTTTAATCTTTAATTACAGCAATAGACTCTGTGACCAAAACTGAGCCCCCATCACATCATCTTCTGGGCTCTGGTTGAATAAAGCTATTTCTTTAGTTCAGCCCTCATCATAATGCTTTGCTAATTAGTACAATTTTTTCTCTTCCACTAAATTGCAGAAATTGGATTTATTTGTTGTGATACTTTTGAGAGCAATTAAATGTCTAGAACATAGCATGTATTTAGTAAATACTTGATTGGTGACACAATTGTAGAAACTGGTGTCAAATTTATGGCTTCATTAGAATAGTTAATGACATTCAGCATTGCTTTTATGAATTCCTGGTCAATTCTTCTCAATTTTTCATAGTGATATTTCAAAACATGTTCACTGTCTTTAGTTCTATACCTGCCTCTACTTCCTCACTTTTACCCAAGGAAACAGAAGCTTTAAAAGTAATTTCCTTGATGTCCTGCACATCAGAGGAAGAAGTGCCCTTCCTTCTGCTCAAGATAAATTCCTCATTACAACCACAGTCCCATTCCCAATTCCATCTTCTCAATAATCTTACTCTATCAACCATTCCCTCTCTTCATCCTCACCATCTTTTCTGCTTCCTTTTCTCTACACAGAATTAAGCACAAATATGCTCCATTAAAATTTTTAAAGGACATTCTTTAGAACCTCCAAGATTTTGGCACCACACTCTTCATTGTCACTTTTTTGGCCCAAGCATCTTAGAATGCTTACTGTTCTCCAATTTCAAATATATTATTTTATTCCTCACCCATGGTGCTCCTACCTCTACCTTCCACCCAGATTCATTGTTCTTACCAGTGATGTCCAAGGGATTAAATAAATAATCATTTCAATTCTTACTTTACTTGATGTCTCTGTGTATTCAGTTCTGTTAGCCCTTATCTAGAGTCTTAAAACAGTAATGACTTTGTCATTCATTTGTTCAACAAATATTTATTGAGCACATGCTTGAAGATGTTGTACTATGTACATGGGCTATGGTATTTAAAGAGAGAGAACCCTATGCTTCATTAAACTGGAGTTTTATTGAAAAAGAAGAGACAGTAACCAAGGAAATGAAGAATTATTACATGTGTCTTAACTCCTAAGAAGGAAAGAAGTAGGGTGATAATGCAGAATAATTTGGGTAGAATTAGTAGAAGGCATATTAAAATGTTTTCCACAAGACCTTTGGGTAAAACCCTGAAAGATAAGAGGAAGGCAGCCATGGAAAGAAATGGAGGGGAGAACTGCAGAGAGAAGAAACTGTGGGTGCAACAGCCTTGGGTGGGAAAGACCTCACACATTGCTGAGAATTGGGAAGAGGCCAGTACAATGGGAGTAGGCAGTGTGAAGACAAGAGGTAAGACTGGAGAGCTGCTGGGGGACTAGGCCAGTGGTTGGTAGTTAAAACAGGGAAGTCATTGTCAAGTTTAAAGCAAGAAATGACAAGATATGGCTTACATTTAAAAAAACAACTCTGCTAGTAAGTGGAAAATAGATACTAGAGGAACTAAAGAGAAACAAGGAGACCAGAAGGAAGGATATTTGGACTAAGATA